GAGCCATGACTAAGGCTTCTGACAAATAATCTGAAAACTGGTTGCTCGGTTCTTTTGTAAGAACCACATGTTAACCTCGAGTTTGAACAGGAAGCATGCAAATCATTCCTCTCTCTAATTTTTCTTCATGTTAATCTCAATATATGTTGTCTGATCATGTTATACTGGGTTATATGTGATATTTATTATTGTAGCACAACCTCATCGGTTAGTCAATTCTATCTTTAAATTAGCAAGAACAATTTTTAACCAACTCAAAAATCCCTAACGCCATAGACCTGAATTCTGCTTCTGCACTCGATCTAATCACAACATTATGCTTCTTACTCTGCCATGTTACTAGATTAATGTCCAAAATTGTACAATGCTCTGAAGTAGACATTCTATCAACTGTTGAACCTGCATAATCCTCATTAGTATATGCATCAAGAACTAACACATTACTTGTTTTGAAATGAATACCCTTTCCTTTATTTCCTTTCAAATAGTTGAGGATTGTATTAGCTGCATGCAAATGCACTTTCCTGGAAGCATGCATAAATTAACTTATCACACTGACCATGTATGCTCTGTCCAACCCTGTATCGGATAAATGAGTTTACCAACTAGATCTTCATACATCTCCGGATCAACACTAAGGTCATCTCTAGCTTCACTAAGTTTATGGTTAGGATCTATTGGAGTTAGAGCTGGTTTACGAGCTAGTCTTGTTTCTTTTAGGAGATCTATAGCATATTTCTGTTGTGAAATGAAGATCCCTATTTGGAATGAACTACTTTAATCTTCAAAAACTTTCTTCAACCTCCCTATCTCCTTTATTTCAAACTCCCTAATTGAATGTCCCTTCATCACCTATTTTTCTTTTCACCATTGTAGTCACAATTATATCATCAACGTGGACTAACAAACTGTAACTCCTATATTTGAATACTTAATAAACAATGCACCACCTCGGGTTTCTTTGTAATTCATAACTAACATTACCTTAGCAAATCTACCACTCCATGCCCTCAGTGATTGTTTTAAACTACAAAGAGCTTTTTTGCGAACTTTATTACCTACCATAATGTCATTGAATCCAGAGGAGTTCCCATGTATATTTCTTATTCCAAATCACCATGAAGGAATATATTCTTTATGTCAAACTTTTATAATTCCTAATCAAAGTTAGCTACCAAGGATAAGATGACCTCATGGCGTTTATTTCTGCAACTGGTATGGAAGTGTTTAGATAATTCATTCCACACGTCTGAGTGTATTTTAGCTATTAATCTCACTTTATACCTTTCCAAAGATCTATCAACCTTCTATTTCATGGCAAATACCACTAGTTCTTTTTCCCTTAGAGAAACTTTACCAATTCTTAAGTATTATTTTTCTCTAATCTACCCATCTCAAGTTTCATAGCTTTTCCCCACTTTATTGGATAATGCCTTGAGTAAGATCTTAGGTATGAGAATAATTTAGATTCGTAAGGAAAGCTTTATGGATAGGTGAGAGCCTACGGAGGGACACAATGTGGGATAAGGGATATAAAGGTCGTTTATACACTCTTGGGTTCCTTCCTTAAGGCAATAAGTAAATCTCTATTATCATTTTGAGTTTTTGTTTCACTAGATTTCTTCCTTATGTTATTTACTGGATGGTCCAAGATAGATTCCTGGATTGCTATGAGATCAGGAATGTCTGATAGCTTTCTTGAATACACCATTCCAAATCTCTTTGCACCAGCAGTAATTTTTGTAGCCACTTTATCATGTTTCACTGACTTCCTAGGATTAGGTGCCCTATTGAACTTAGATGATTCTGTCCTAGGAACAGATGGTGACAAGGACAATGGTGAGAGAGAGAATTCGAACATGTTATCCAAGGCATCCTCCTTGCTTCCCAAAGTATAGATTCCCCATGAATATAAGATTGAAAAAGATAGGGCACAGCTTTAACAAATGCAGTGCAAAGAAAAATTCTATGCATTAGGTTATGGAAAGTTCTAACATCTGGTTAAAATTGAGAAGGAAATTTTGTGGAGTTCTTGAATCGAGGATCCGTGATGGCATCCTATTAATCATATATGTAAATGTGAGAACAACTTCTCCCCACTAGTGCTTTGCTACATTATAATGAAATGAGAGAGTTCTTGTGGTACAATTTATTCAGCTCAGGATTCAGGCCTGCAAGGAGATCATACATCTATCTTTTGCAATAAAATCTTTTATTCTAGCAGAACAGCTATTACATTGTAGTTCAACAGCCCTGTAATAATCTAATTCCTGCCACAGACTCTGTAACAGATTAGCATATTCGGCAACAGATCTCCCTCCTTGTTTTGTTGTTCTTGCTTTAATCTTTATTTTATACACCTGAGCAGCATCCCTAACCTTGGAGTAAATTTGTTGAATAGCCTCTTAAATCCCTTCTGCTGTTGGGAGAAACATGAAGGTATAACTAATCTTAGGTGTCTTGGAACTCCACAACCATGACATAATAAGTTAATCCTCCTCATCCCAAGCTGCGAAACCCAATTTTCCTTTGTTTAGGTCCAGTTCCCAATAGGTGACCTAGGTTCGTACTAGCTGTGACCACTTCAGACAGTTTTTTCCATTCAAATGGTATGCTGTCGGGATGTTTTAAAGTGCACCTTTTGATTAAACTTCATCAAACTGAGGGTTTGAATATTAGGCAGAATTAATTTCGGTGATTTTGGACACAGCCTTATCTGCATTGGTGATAGAAGCAATATGCTTAGCATCAGTAGTAGACTTAGCCATCACATTTTTGCTTCCTTGAGACCCATGAAAATATGCCTGAGCCAACAGAAAATACATACCTCTTAGTGCTTTTCATGTCATCTGGGCATCAGCCCAGTCACTGCAAGAGTAATCAATCAATCACGATTTTTGCCCTTAGTATACCGGGTACCATAGTTATAGGTCTCTTTGGTGTATCCTAATATGCATCAATAGCTCTTAAATGAACTTGACTTGGTGATTTCTTGTATCTGGACAAAACATTAGAAGCAAACATCATATCTAGCCTTTGAGGTAGTCAAGTCTAGTGGACTTCCAACCAAATTTCCATAATTTCTGACTTCAACTTCATCTCCCTTCTCTGCCTTAGACAGCTTCTCATTGTTGAATCAAAGGACATGTAACTAAGTTGCACTTTTCCTTCTTCAACCTTTTGAACAGATACAAGACATACTTCCATTGAGTCACAAGATACTGGCATTAGTTGATAAACCTCCATACCGAAGCAGTAGGTCATAAGCCCTAGGTTGGATATTTCAAAAGCTGATATCATTTCCATTTTAAAGTCATTGATCAATGAAGTCAGTTCCAATTACCTGCATATCATCAACATAAATGGAAATGATTAATAACTTATCTCTTTCAGCCTTCTTTGCATACGAGGTAGCTTTCAGTTTCACACTTTTTAAAGCCACATTAAATCAAATAAGCATCAGTTTGCTGTATCAGGGCCTAGGTGCCTACTTGAAGTCCATAAAGAGCCTTATGCAGCTTGTTAACCTTGTGTTCACCTGAAATTTTGAAAACTTCAGGTTCATCAATAAATCATTCCTCCTCAAGATCACCATTGAGGAAAGGCAAATTTCACATCCAAATGAGACCTATCACATCCCAATTATGCAGTAAGGCCAACGTCAGCCTTATTGTCTCATTTTGAGCCCACCAGAGCAAAGGTGTCTCCATAATCCACTTCTGCCAGTGGAGAGTACCTTTAACTACTGACCTCGCTTTGTTTTTGTGAGTAGTGTCATCTGGTTTCAATTTTGTTCTATAAGTCCCCTTTACCCCAATCATATTTTTATTTTCAGGGTTGTCCACTGATTGCCAAGTTCCATTCTTCTCAATATGGTAATCTCCTCTTTCATGGCAGCTCTCCATACTTCATATTGAACTGCATCACCAAAAGAAATCGGCTCCAACGTTGCTAAGCGGCAATGTTTATAAATCTCAGACAAAGACTTCTCTTGAGAACAGGAGAATCCGGTGGTGATCAACATTTTCTTTGTCATCTTAGGCTGGAGAATCTGCGGACTTCAATGTTGGAAGTAAAGTTGTCTGATAACCCACATCATCCTTTTCTGCAGCACCTCTTTCCCAATTCCAGTGAGAAAATTTATCAACAATAACATCTTCACCAGTAGAAATTTTATGAGTCTGCAGGTTATAGACACTGTATCTTTAGATGTTAAAGAATAGACCAAGAAAATTCCTTCCACAGCCTTTTTATCCAACTTTGGTTTGTTTGACTGAAAGCACATTAATATGGCTCATTGAACCAAAAATCTTCAAGTGTTTAGCAGATGGTTTAATTTCATTCGACGCTTCAATTGGGATTTCTCTTTCCACAGCTTTAATAAACAATCTATTCAAGCGATAGACTGTTAAATTGGATAAATCTTTACTCGGAGTTGAGCCTAAACCTAACAAGAAAATGCATTTGTGATTTGGACTCTAGCTTGAAGGAAAATAAACATCAATGAGAAGTTAGTCTGATAAGGTTAGTGAATCATGCTAGGCTCACTCGACAGAGATTGCTGGTCGTAGAGAGGAAATCATCTGGCCTCTTGTTGGTGAGAGGGGCTTTTGATTGCATGAAGATTTCGGAAAATTGAAGATCCAACTATCTATTACTCCTGTTGGCACCTTTGTTCATCAGGTCACAGTATCTTATGTATAAAAGACCCTACATGGGAAAGTTTCCAGTCTTACTCAACGTAAAGGGGGGATGAGGAGAAGAATAATTCCTGCCAGATAGAACTGAGGCAGATTGTTTGCTGTGTGTTTGGTCTTGCGGTTTCCACTGTGCCACAGATTCTTTAACCTGCCTTTTAAGTCACAGATGTTGTTTGCACTTGACAAGATTGGATAGCCTTACTTATTTCTATTATGCTAAGAAATTTGGTGGCTGCTCTATTTTGATTTCTCCCCCCTTGTTTTCTATATAGTAAGAGTAGGAACACAAAGGTGATAGTTTTGCTGTGTGTTGATCATGCAGTTATAGAATGGTAATACCACGGGTCCTTTAACTGGTCTTTTCACCTGCACATCGTGTTTGGATAGGATTGATTGCCATGGTTTGTTATATATCTCCAGTTGAAGGTTGATACTTTTTGCTTTCAACGATGGTGTTTTATCATGTTTAAGTCTTTTAAGTCTTCAACTTTGGTTAATTAGGAGTAAATTGCTTGTATTAGTGATTTAGCCTTTTATGGCAAGTTTATGTTGTTTTTAAGTTGTTTGTTTCGACAAGCAAAGTAATTTGCCTCTTTTAGAAGTTGATTAGCTGTAATGAAATGCATTCATGTAATATATTTTTTGAGGAAGTTTATTGAAGAAGTAATCTTAAGTTTTTCCAGATTATCTCCCTCTCCTTTCCTCCCCTTTTCCTCAGATTTTTGTGTTTCCTGTTTTCCTTCTGATTTCTTTTCTCTGTCCAACACATACACAGCCAACAAGTCCAAGAAATTTAGTGGCCGATTTATATTAATTTTCCCCCTTGTTTTTTGTAATTTTTTTCTCTTGGTTGGAGGGATATCTTATCCTTCATCTTTGTACCTCTTATTAATGTATCCGTTAACATAAATTCCTGGATAAGAAATGTGTTCTTTGCTAGATGAGTATAACTTAAGTACGATTTTCGTTGATGGTTATCCCAGTTAATTTCATTTGTTGTATTCCTCGTTCTCATAGATCAGTGTTCATTATAACAGGAATGGCCAGAAGAAGTATATCCACCTTATGCCAATGGGCCTGGGTATATAATTTCCGGTGACATTGCAAAATTCGTTGTTTCTCAGCATGCAAATCGAAAGCTACGGGTATGATACTGAAATCGACTATCTTTTTTCTTGTTTTTATTTGGTGTTTTGTTTTTTCTTGATAATGTTGTTCTATTTCTCTTATTACCCCACCTCTCTTGTTAATTCAACATTTCCTTGTGTCAATAATAGTTTGATTAACTTTTGATTGTTACTTCCATTAAAGATTAGCTTTTTATTCAATTGTTTTGGTAGCAGCTTTTTAAGATGGAGGATGTGAGTATGGGAATGTGGGTTGAACAGTTCAACAGCTCTACGACCGTCCAGTACTCCCACAACTGGAAATTTTGTCAGTACGGATGCATGGAGAACTATTATACCGCACATTACCAATCTCCACGACAGATGATCTGCCTATGGGACAAGTTGGCGAGAGGTCGAGCTCAATGTTGTAATTTTAGATGACCCTACTCATGCTTCCAGATCGTTTTACCTTTCCTCCTCCAAAATTTTGTCCATTGAGGTGCACTTTACTCAGACTTTGAAGGTACTGCCTCCATTTCGGAACGGGAATATACACTATTTCTCGATGCAAGTTGATACAATCGGCAATCAGGTCATCATTTTTTTGTACAATTCTTACTAAACTGTACATGCTTTACACTTTCAATGAGTGAGTTTAGATGCAATTAGTGAAGAAGCAATCAGTTCCAGGTTTTTTCATGTCCACACCTACTATTTTCTATTATATATTTACTTGTTTTTCTTTTCTGATATGAAGATTGACATCCACTCTTAAATTCATATATACATTCTATTAAAAGAAATAACAGGAAAATGGTGGTATA